AAAAACGTATGTATTGTAAAAACTGACTACTTAAGTAGTATGCCTTTTTATCATTGATTTTGATATTGTAAAAACTGACAACTTAAGTAGTATGCCTTTTTATCATTGATTTTGACAACTTTATAAATTCAAATATATTTTATGGAAAACATGCACGAAAAAATTATTTCATATTTTATGGAAAACATGGACGAAAAATTTATTTATTGTACATGTTTGATAGAAAATTACGCCTTCTTTAAATTTATACTCAAAGGAAGGGTAGCTTTCGTTTTTAAAACCCCAAACCCAGTATGCCCCGGTTAGCAGGAGTGAGTACCACAGTTGCAGTAGCAGTTGGCGGAACTCACATAGTGACTGCTAACATATGTTTATAGTTGTCCTATTAATATTAGGCGCACTTGTCCTATTCCCGTAGCTAGCCTGATAATATTGGAGGCAGCAGTAGGAACGCGAGTGTCGAATAACGTTTTTAGTATCATTATTATTTTCAATAGCTTTTTACTATAAAAATATGGTACTGTTATTACCGTTAGTATTACTGGTTTTTAATAGTACTATTAGCATTAGTATTGCATTATTCCTGTTGTTTTTCTATTTTTATATTGTCTTACTATATCTGTCCGCTATTTTTATAGTTGCCGTCTTTTATCATTGTATCTGCCTTAGTATTGTATAATTTGTTCGTTCTACTTAGCATTAGTCGCAATAATTTTACGGCATCATCTGTCGGTACTTCTTCGCATTAATATCTGTAGTATTAACATTACTGTCCTTTTTATTCCTAATGGCATCATTGCCATTATTAATACTATGAATTTATTAGCTTTCATATTATTAGTCTTGTTAGTGACAACAGCAGTCACAGCAGGAGTATTGCCAGCTATTCTACGCCGTATTACTAGAACTGGAAAAATTGCCTCTAGCACACTGCTACTAAGATAAATGCTGCTGCTCACACCCCCATACCCCAACTCCATTTTTCCACCGTCGAGAAAGCTTTGCGGCAAGAACGACATGCGGGATGACTGGGCAGCCCTCTTTAGGGACAATACTACTTACCCTGCAATGAAGAGGGGGTCAAGAAACACAGCTCTAAAAACTGCTGGGTCACGAATTCTGTCAGCAAACAGTGGCTGTCAGACTGCTAAAATTGCGATCGAAACATTTCAAATAGATACCAAAATCTATCTCGTCTCCAGCCTCTCCCAACCCACAGGACCATTCTGCACGCTAAAATGAGTTCTCTAACGTCACAGATGAAAACGTCTTCATGGAGAACCGATCGTGCCAACTGAGGGACACAGTCCAATCCACCACCCCAAGTGCCTTTGGCCGTACACGTCGTCAACAGCGAAATAGGTTGACTAAACTGGTGCCGTCATCAGTGACCTGCTCGTCGAGAAGAACCAGCTGCACAAAGCTTACGTTGATTTCCCTACAGATGCCACCAAAACAGCTTTCTACCGAAGTCGTGATCTGTACAGTAACGGCTACGGGAAATGCAGGGTACCTGGGTGGTTTGCAAGGCTGGTATCTTACAAGGTTACATGAACTGCAGTGAATGGAGGAACTTCTTTGTTGCGATCAAGGTTGTTTACTGTGCCATATTCAAAGGACCTACTATTCTGTTCAGTGCTGACGGAACTACTCTACTCACTGAGAAGATACAAATTCTGAAGCGCTGGACTGAGCACTCCCACGACATACGAAGCCATCCCTCCACCACCTCTGATGCCGCCATCGACCGCCTGTTTCAGGTGGAGATCAACGCTGACCTCGATCTCTCACCAATGGGTCAGGAAGCTATCAAGGCCGTGCAGCAATTAACCAGCAAGAAAGCACTCGGATCAGAAGCGATCCCTGCTGAGATATACAAATACTGTGGTAGCAAACTTGTGAACAACCTTACTGCGCTCTTTCAGCAGATGTGGTGCCAAAGAAACGTCCCAAAGGACTTCAAGCACGCCACAATCGTTTGCCTTTACGAGCGAAAAGGGAACCGCAAACTCTATGACAATCACCATGGAATTTTGCTGCTTAGTATCGCAGCTTGTGTTCTCCTTAACCGCATGAAAATCCGCCTGGAATAAGGAATCATGCTGGAAAACCAGTGTGGTTTTTGTCGTCATTAAGGCACCGCTGACATTATCTACGGCTCCTGAAA